TCCTTTGGTGTTATTAAATGGAGCAATACCGACCTCGACCACCTCCAGAGGACAATTAACGCCCTCCAGGACAATTCGAGAGCATAAGGAATTCGTATCACTAGTAAGATAAAACGGCTATTTCCTAATTCTCAATACCTATAAACGCACAAATATAAAAATATCTACTTGTAATTTGTAATCATATGACTTTTAATGGTAAATCGTTCAATCCTAGACTATCTGTAGGCTTGTAACACAATACTGCTTATTTACAATTGTATTAGAATACTGTAAGTTCTGAGAAACAAAAACAGTTGTTTCTTGTAGAATTTTACTTGTGAACTACTGAGTATTCACTTGTAACTATTAGTGATTACTAATTTGATTGTGAAACGCGATTGCCGTGGTTCTCACAAGTGAAGTGAAGGGACGGGAAGTAACAGTGAATTCACTTGCAACTTCTGTAAAACGCCTCCCAGAGAGTATAATATCAAGCCTGTAAAATGAATGCCTCTCTGTTTTACACAGTCCTTACGAATAAAGTGGGAGCATAACGCTTTTCTCTTCCCCGTTAACAGCTACAAATGCGTTACGGCCGGCCATTATCAAAGAAAAAATGTGGATATGATCGTTACATACAATAACTCAAAACTCCATTATTAATAAATACATTTATAAATACATTTTCTAATTTCTTTTGGACTGTGATTTCTGTATCGGAAGCTCCGTTTTACAGCCTCGAATGACGAGACGCGCCTCTATATAACCATACTTACATACCAAGCCCTTTCCTGTATTTATCAAACATGCTGATCCTTTCACCTTTGTCCTCTATTAACCACCTCACCGCATCACGAATATTCCCCTTTGCCCACATTCTTCCTTTCTCAAAAACCAGACATCTCCCTACAATATGTTTCCAATCTTCTTCTTCGATCTCACAGATCCTACATTTTCCCCCTCACTATTCCGCCAATATTTACTTGCTCTCATTTCATTACATAACCTATACAGACCCGGCGCATAATGTGGGTATGGTGGATAGCTACACTCTCACGAAAAACTCAGAGCATCGACTTAAAACGTATACGCGATTAACTACGTTGTAAATCGGCTCAACAGTATTGCTATTTTTTACATGTTTATAGTATCGACATGGCCGACAAAATCGATTTGTAAAAATTGTTAAATGTGTTTTTATAGAAAATACAAAGTGCAGTGTTGTTTTTGTATTGCAAAAATGAACTCTGCTGAAGGTACATAAAATAAATGTGATAACATTTTGATGACAATTTAGTGATTAACATGACAATTTGAAAACTTCCCTTTTTGTATTTTCACATTTTCGGTGAGAGATGAAGGGGGGAGGGGGACCACTCGGATCAACTACCCACTCGGACTCACCACCAATTGCTGGCCCTGAACCTACACCTTGCTATCCTGCGTCTGTCAATTCCCTCACACTTACCTTTTAAATAACCAGGAAAATCATCCAAGAGAATAAAGTATTTTATTCTCTTGGATGATTATATTAATATTATTATTATTATTATTATTATTATTATTATTATTATTATTATTATACATTTATAAAATTAGAATTCCTTATCATATGATAATTTTCTTTCAATAACTAATCTTTATCCTTTTTAGAATAAATTCTTTACTTAAAAAGTCTCCCTCCTCTTAACCTTGCCACCTCTTCAGAAAATAACCTTTATTGTTCCAGAAATTTTCCTTTTCCCTTTCCCAATCAGATTTCTCAGTCTCTTTAACCTTATTTATTGTCCACAAAACTTGCTTTGTTAACTCATTTCCCCTCCCTCTTCATATCCGTTACTCATTTACATGTTAATTTGCCCATCTCTATTATCATTTTTTGCCTCTTTGTCTATCATCTTACCATGTAACTAGGCATGCAATAGTCTGTTCCTAGGATTCATCTTAAACATCTTTCATGTATTGCTTCTAGTTTCCTCCTTTTCCTTTCATCCCAAAATTTCTGCCTTCCACCTCAAAATAGAACCAACAATATTATAACACATCCCCATACCTTTTGTCCGAAAATCCCTACACCTTCTCTTAATATATCCCACACTTGTTTCAAAGTCACCATCCACTTCTTACCTATTTTTGTTACGTGTTTTTCATGTGATATATGCAATGGCTCCCATGTTACGCAAAAACCCTAAATACTTATAATCGTTCACCATTTCTAAAATACTTCCTTTCCATATAATTCTCTCACATCTTCATTCTACCATTTTTAAATTCCATTACTTTGGTATTATTCGTATTTAATTCGAGTTCTTTATTCTCTAAACTTTGTCCTAATCTCTCCATCACCCGATGTAAGTTCTAGGAATTATCAACCACATACCATATCATCCGCATAAGATACAGACTAAATTTTTAATTTACCAATCAATAACTCACCATTCTTTAACTTCTCTTCTAAACCTACCATAAGGAATATTGAAAGGAAGAGAACTCAATGGGCAACTCTGCCTAACCCCCTTATTCATCCAGAAATTATTGCTAAATTTTCCTTCTTCCATCGCTTTGCAACTTTTTCTTTATATGTTATCTTCTTGCAATTAATTATCACATTAATTTTTAAGTTTGACATAATGCTCAAAAACTTTTATTGTTCAGATTGTCAAAGACCGCCTTCAGATCAAAAAATTTAGTCCATAGACTACTCTTCTTACCTTTCTGTTTACATACGTATATGCGCAGTATAGGGAAAGTTATGTAATGCTGCGCCACAACATTGAAGATTTTCTACAGAAAAAATTCATGGCCAAGTCCTGGTAACGAAAAAGTAGATAAATCCAATTGCTAAATTAAGAAAACAATTTTCTAACACGTGATGTAGCCGGAATCCACTTCTTGTTGGTTCTTCATACCGAAAAATCGATTGGCGGCAAATCATTCGTCCGATCGTCTGTCCGTTAGTCTGGCGTATGTGAACAACAATAGCACCTAAAAGAATCGTACACTTTTTTCAAGTTGTCCCTGTCGATGTGGCCTAAGTCGAAGCTCTGCGATTTTGAAAAACATTCATTAATTTTTGTAATCTATTGTAATGTAATGTAAATTACTTGACATGAAGCACGCGGACATTTTCAAATTTTTCTCAAAAACGGCTCCAAAGTTTTTCGCATTTTAGTAAGAATAGAGTGAAATACATTTATAAAGGTGGCATAGGTAAGATTTTCACTGATTATTCTGAAATTTCGATAATTGCAAAAGAAATTTTTCGGCGAGTTCCTACAACTACAAAATTGAAGATAGAGATATTTCATTCAAATGAAATTTGTTCTCCATAGTTAGTTCTTTCATTAATGTCATGAACATTTTTTTCAAAATCTTAGTCGTTTTTAGCAATATTATTTGGAATGTGGGCAATTAAAAAAATAACAAAAACAAGATTTTCTCGAAAACAACTACAAAGTTGTTTTTTAAACTTTTAGTACGCATAGTGCTATATGTACTCTATGAGGTGACATATACGCCATATCACTACGTTTTCTCAAAATGTAATTTTTTGACTTGTCTTTCATGTTAATATTTATATTCCTGGCATTTCTTCACAATATTTTATTTATGAGTACATGTGCTTTAAATAATATCATATAAAGTTTCTCGAAAACTCGACAGTTTTCTGTTGAAACTAGTTCAAAATTCCGCATTTTCAGAAACGCTCAATGGCTATTTTCTAAAAAAAAAAAGGCTCCAAATATTTTCTTCTAACTTTTCGATCGGATAGTGCTATTTGCACTCTTTAATATAACGTAAAGTTAATTTTGGGATTTTTTCCAAAAATTATACAAATGTTACATACAAAATTATACATTTTTTAAAAATATCTCTCACGTCATTAATATGCACATTTCCAGCAATATGCAAAAACTATTGTATATGTGAGCTAAAGTGCTTTAAATTAATTTGAATGAAGTTTTTCGAATACTCAAAAATGTTCTGTGCAAAAGAGCTTCAAATTTCGAATTTACAGTAATAAAACGCCATTATCATTAAAATCGCTCATAATTTTTCAATTAAAATCATCATTTAAGACGAGGTTTTACTGTTCTTTAATAATCTTCAAATAATATTTCCATTCCAAAATTAGGAAATCGAAACATTTAGAAAAAAAGTTCTTGGGCCTTAATAGCAGGCAAGGGTATTTGGTAAGTCAGAATAGCTAGCCCAGAGAAAAGGAAACAGAAAACGTATACGGGAAAGTCTGTGCCATTCTGTAGCACTACTAGTGAACTTTTATCTCTCTTTTTATAATAAATTTCAGTGTGTAAGTGTTATTTACAACTCCCATACCACTTCCGAATCTTGTTTGATTGCTTGGTAATAGTCCCCTCTCTCCATTAAATAATCTCCATTAGTTTTTTACCCCTCTCTCCATTAAATAAAATTTATGATTTAACTTTATTATTGAAAATTTTGAAAGCTGACGTTTTCTGTGTTTCTGTGAAAATTTTCCATATATTAATGTTGCGGCAATGGATATTTTAGAACATCTGTTTAGATTAAAAATGGATAAATCTGAATTATTGGTTGCGGCTAAATTACATATGTTTTAATTTTTTCGTTTTGAAATTAATTTTAAACACACTAGAATTATGGAATACGTGCTAGCTCTGCTTCATGTACATTTTTTTATTTCTTATTTCAATGTGGTTGTTAATAGTGAATGTCTTTCAACATTGGAGCAATTTGAGATATTAATATGTTGCGACAATTAACATTCGTTCGGGCATCTACAAACAGAAAACGTAAAACAGAGGAATAGTTTTTGTAGCAACACACAGATGGCGTTCAATATCGTTTCGTGTGCAGCGAGTAAGCTACAAAGTAGGCGCCAGAGTGCTCTCGCGTCGTTAAGGCCGAGTCCGTTTGGGGGGCTTCCGTTTGGATCTAAGATGAACATGTTCGAACCGCTGTCACTTCTTGGTGCTTGTGGTGTGTCGATCTCTCCAGTTACATTTATTATAAATGAGTATTTGATTGTTGAATAATAATATACTTATCAGGTGAGTACGCAAACTCATTGCTCGAATATTTATTGTATTGAATTGATTTGCAAAATCACCTATCTACTAAGTAAGTGATGATTCAGGAATAAGGATTTGAAATATGCAGAAACATGTGTTAGTTTATGCACGATTTTCAGTGCTCTGGATTTCTTACGCTAGCCACAAGCTTCCCTTAATGAATTTGTATGTTTAACGTTTTAGTTGTGAGGTAACTATATCTATTTGTGTGCATGAAATTTGATACTCAATGCTGGTGGTAACTAAGTCTTTGAAAATTTAACGTTTCAGTTCTTTTAATTTTAATTTATTTGTAAATTATAAACTTATATTTGTATGTTAATTATTGTATGCTTTGTATTCCATACATATCTCTAGTACATTGATTCAAATCAAGCAGGAAAGTTAAATTCCATTTCCCCAGTGTCTGCAAGATTCAGAAGGTTTAGAATCTCTTAAATAAAGTTTATTGTAATCGATTTTCGATTATTTAAATAATCGAAAAACTTGAAGCAATATACTACAATTGTCCGTAATATGCTGCTTCTTTCTTGTACTGATAAAGTAATATTCATCTCGTTCGTATTGCACAGACAAGCAATTCGTGGTTAAGGACCCTAATGAATTATTTCTCGTGCTTTCATTAAACCTTTAGAACCTACCTGGTGTACTCGTGTACCTCAAGTTTTTTTTTCGGTCTATATTTTTCGGTGTTTTGGTACCATTATCATTTCGCTCATTACACTTTCATGTTTTAAAATATAATATTTGTAGATATACAGCGGATATAGAGGACCACAAAACGTGTATTTCTGTCAAAATGTCTGTTCGGCACTCTTCTTTTCTTACTGAATAATTTGAATAATGAAATAATTTGATTGAATAAATTGAGAGGAAAGAACGTCGGCTTTTCATTTTACTACGCTAAACATACGCTTCCTCCGGATTCTGTTAATTATTTATAATATCAACCGCTTTTATTTTCAAACAGACTTGCCTAGTGATGAGTATGTCCTTGTCCGTGTTGGACAACGACGACTACATTCGTCCTGGGCACTGAGTGCGGTAAGAAGTTCTGTAAAACGAATAAGATAGTGATGCTTACGTTTCAGCGGTGAAACCAATGCACCAGATGACGTGTCATGGATAAAGAGTTATGAAGTGGCCAGATTCGATTTCGCTGTAATGTGACACGAAATTCAAAGACCGTAAGACTTCCTTGTTCAACCTTTTTTGCGTCTCCGATGACTTCGTCCGAACGCAGAAATTGAAACTATATATTAAGCGGTTCAGAAGTTACTATATTTTCAACATTTGCATTTGATTGATTTTTTATCCTCCACTTGATAGATTTGTGAGAGCGTTGGTGAATAAATGTTCCGACGAGGGAATACAAAGCAACATGAACTAAAAGTGCGTACATCCGATCTATATTATAAGGGTGATTCAAAAAGTATCAGCAAGCAGAATAATTACGAAATATATATTTGAACATCAAGTATTAAATTCATGTAATTTCTCGACAAAATCATCTTGTTTCTCAATAAACGTTTGACATCACTGTACATGTGTTTAAGTTCCTTCTTAAATATTAAGCTGTTCCTGGGACTATTCACTCTTTCACCATTTAATGCTCCGAAATCGACCCATTAATGTTCCAGAAATTATATATATATATATATATATATA